GATCAACTGTGAACTTGTAAATTTATAGGACTTGTACCTGTGTCCCTCCAAGATATGTCATCACTTTCTTTATTAACTTTCTGCTGTCAGAAGCATAAAGCATTTGACTCAGCCCTGAATTCTTACAGCTGCAGCAACATATATTTTCCAAGTTTGTAAATCTGCTTGCTGTCACCTCTGAACAGCTAGCATTTAATGCTTTCTAGCATTTTTTTTCCTAAAACATAGACTTTTAACCTGTCCAAAACAGAGTGGGTTTTGGAAAAAAGTGTCCCAGCCTCAGGTATGTTTACTAAGTTTCTGCCTGTGTCAGTGTAGTTCACCAGAAATCTTCCACTAGCTTTTGCTGCATCTCAGAGCATGCATTATCACTGTGCAAAGATGACAAGAATTGCCCTTCCCAAATGGCGTTACTCACTAGGCATAGCTGAGGATCTCAGGTGCAAGTGTGCTCCATTCCTACTCTGAGCCCTTCTCTCACAACACACAATGGGGTTTTGAGTTTATTTCATGATTTTATAGAACAGCTGTCTTGATTTTTAACATGATCTTCTGCTTTTCCCAGTGTAAATTAGATTGTCTTTTCCCACCCCTAATAATGTAGTTCAGATGCATGCATTGTATATATGATGAGATTGGGTCATACTTCCAGGCATCTTCTCCATGATTTGGTTGGAGTTAAGCTTTTTTCACATTTTAAACCATATTAAGATATCTGCTGCCTCTTATGAAATGTATTTATATATATCTATATATGTAGTGCCCTTTCCAACCCTAACTATTCTATGATTCTATGTTTCTATGTATAGATATATCTACATACACACAGGGTACACTTTGAGAGGAAAGGTGCTGTGAAAAGCATGTTGGATTGTTTTATTTTTCATATGAAAAGAAAAATGGGGACTCTGTCTTCAAAATTCATAAAAATGCATATTTGTTTTTCCAAAAGCCTGGAGAGGCTTATTCCGTATCATTCATATCTCTTGAGTAAATATATTAGTCATTCTTAAGGAAAAGAGTATTATTGACTTGAATGATTAGAAAAAGCCCTTTCAGAATCAGTTTAGCTGATAAAGTAAATAAATACTTAAATGGCTGGAGGCAAAAAAAAAAGGAAAAGAAAAACCAGTCAAGCACAACTTACTTTGCGTCCTTGATGTGTGCGTGCGTGTACGTATTAGAAATCAATCTTTGTGGAACATATATTAAATAATTCTGATTTGTATGTTTAAATAAATACTGCATACAAGCTACAGGCAAATTCCAAAGTAAGGGCATATTCAGGAGTGTAAGGCATCACTAGAATTGATCATTGTCTTTTGGGTTTATCTCAATATAAAAGTTGAAAAGCACGGGCTGATTTTTGCACACATGAAGGGGGAAGTTGGGTTTGCACTTACTGTTTTTCTGGGGTTTTGTTTTTTCTTCAGTTGGGGAAAGTGTCTTTGTTTTTCTAATCAATTTCAGTGTTTTAGGATAAGGTATGTTGATGGCTTTTCTTTGCATAATGGTCTCATAGAACCAGGCACCATTTGTGTTGGACCCACGACATGACATTCTTAGGGTGTTTAACACTGAAGAGGCTGATTTCCCAAAACTGTTCAAACACCTTTAAGGAGGAATAAATTCGGAGCTGTGAATTTTAGCATTCATGCTTTAAGGCTGATGCTTGTTATGTATTTTGTCAGAATTTCTTTTCCTGTTCATCACAGCTTTTTTTAAGACTGATATAATTGCTATATCAAATATTCCTGCCCTCTGTCAGTACATAGATAATAATGATGTAAATGCATTCACCCTTCTGCTTCTCACAGTTTAGCTATAATTTTTAGAGCATAATTTTGTGCATCTCTTTGGGAGGTTCAGTTAGAAGAGGCAGCGCCACACAGTCTTTTGTAGGACTTGGAAATGCACAATACTATACATTATCCATACATACCAACTAAAAGGTTGGGATAATCCCCAAATAATTGACATTGTTAAGATTCTCTGGAAATAACACTATTACTGGCAACATGCAACAACCTTCAGCTTGTGCATTGGTCCTAATTCATGCATCTGCACTACGGTGTATCTTAGAAACCTGACCTTTTCACATAATTGTAGTAGAATTGTCAATGATTTGTGTTATGAATAGTCTGGAAAGATCTATACAGCTCTGTTGCTCTAAAAGCATGAAGCTGCCACATAGATGAAGACTTTAACTGGCAGGAAAATATCAGAGTCGTGGAGAAACTTGAAAAATTACAAGCAGATATCAATGATATCAAGCTTGTAATTAGTTCTACTATGGGCTAATGTTACCTCTTCTCCAGTCCTGGGCACCTTCACTTGCAAACCAAGTGAGGAGATATGTCTTCATATCATTTATAAGTCTGTATATTCTTTATTAATATTTTTGTTTGACAGCCTTGACCTTCCAGCTAAAAATCAAGTTTCACTGTCATCAGTAAATTTTCAGAGTAGAATTAGTATATGAAGAGGATTTGTGGATAAACGTGTCAATTTGTGTTTGCAAACTTACTGTGAGATTATGTTACCTCCGTTATATCCCTTTGTTCAACTTTTGTTGTTATTTTAGCCCCAAAAAGGCCAAAGATCATCAACTAAAGTGCATGTAGAGTAAAGCTGCTCCTGTAAAATTGATGATCCATCCAATTATTTATCTATAGAGGCTGCTGGGAAGAAACGCAACTATCTCAGTTCTCAGACCCCTCTGCTAGGTTGAACTTCATGGCTGAAGGTTTAATCCCTAAGTGTCATATCAACAATTCATTCTGTGATATTCTGGCTGACATGTTCTCCTTCCTTATTTATTGATGTCTTCAGTCATCGACAATGAGAGGAAAATACACTATTCGTCAAAGTGACGGTGTTTTACCCTCACTTACAGTTGATGCTGCTGTCACATTGATGGTTGGAAAATAAATTCAATCATTATAAAAAGCTAAGAGTGTGAACTTGCCAGTGACAGGAAGAAGATGAAAAAAAAAAAAACCCACAGTAACTTGCTTAAAATTGGTGTAATAAAAATAGAACTGTTTCCTATAAAGATATTTTTGAGCTTTGTTTATGAAATTCCAAGCCATTTAAGCCATTTATTTTGTAGTTATTCCTTTGAAGGGAGATCTTCTCTTCACACTCATTTATGTCTGTGCATCATATGTATAATTTTTAGCAATAAATACTCATTATCATTTCACCTCATGCTACTTGGTTACTTGTTGATTCTTTTCCCTCAATGTTTAAGTGATTTTCCTTTGGTTTTTCTCACCCGGATTACATTGAATGCAGGTATCTGTGTATTACAGTATTTTGAGTGCTTTGATGAGGAATAAGCTCAGTATAGTTTCATCTGGTAAGTCCTTTGACATGCAAACATAGACAAAGCTCTCTTGAATTGCTTTCTTAGGCTACCATTTGTATAGCTGTACTGCACCTTACAGCTTTTTAAACTCAATAACCACATATCTTACCACATTTCACCTTTGGGAGGCATTGTATATACAGCTAAAAGTAAAGAGCAGCAAGCCAAGAGGGACAAGATAGCATAATGAGGATGTCAATTTGTGGTCAGATATCTGAGGAAATATTTATCTTACTTGTACTGCACTTGGCAATAGATAGAGAAATATATATGTAATGAATTTCTGTAGACTTCATCTGGCAGAGTGTGTACCTCGTGTTAAATGCATTTAGAAAAAAAACAATTGCTTGTCTCAAATTTTTGAACTTTGAGCTTATTCTACTTTGAATTGTTTCCAAAACAATGGACCTTATCTATTAAAAAAATAAGAATCATCATGTTTGCTCTCCTAATGTATGGGTGAATTGTTAATGATTCATTTTCTTGATGCGCCTCAAATAATGACATTTTAAGACTCGCCTTATTCACCGCAACAAAAGCAAGGCATGGTTTTTATTGTTTATGGAAAAAGAAAAAGCCTGGTTTTGTAGCTCGACTCAGTTTTGCTGGGTATCTCTGGCAAGCTAGCTAAGTAGCCTAAATGAATGTGCACAGAAATGCTGGTTGTCTCACACGTGCTGTGTGTCCTGAGGCAAGCTACAGCTGCTTCAGCTCCTTGTGTCTGTTTCCCCATCTGTAAAATAGGAATGATTTAACTTATTTTTCTCCTTCAGGGAAATACAGGGTGGGTGTCTTAATGTTTCTATAGAGCTTTGAAGATTAAAATCTCTATACTTACTGCTAATATTTCAGTGTTAGAGGAGCATTTGACTGAAGCTGTTTGAAGAGTAAAGTTTTGGCGTCTTGTGTTGTCTTTGTACCATAACTTGAGGCCTCTCCAGTATAATTTTGCAACCTTTGGTTCAGCATAAGATGTGGAAGCAAACAACCCCAGTGTAAACAAATGGTGATGACAATCAGTTAATGTATATGTCTGCTGTTAAAAACATCAGGAGATCCATTGCAGCATATCTCTAAGCTTGCCAGGATAGTCCATGATGGAGCAAAACAGACACCAGTAACTGCGTTTAGCCTGAAATAGCTTTTATTTAAGCGTCACTGGTAAATGCTGAGAGGCACAGAGTGGTTTTCTCTGTTATGCTTCTCAGTGTCTTTAGAAGTATAAGGAGAGCTGATGTTTTAGCAAAGGCTTCTTGACTTCCTTTCTGAGACTTAGAAAGGAGTGGGCTCTAAGGGGTATATGGGATGTATGAACGACCAGCACTGAGAGCAAGCCTGAAAGTCTTCTTGCTTTGTTTCACAGACCAAAGGTCAGCATCTGTTCCCAGGGCCTACACAACCTCAAGAGACTGCAGGGGAACAAGTCCTCATTTGATTGCTACTTCTTCAGTTTTACATGGCTTGAAAACCTTCAGATTTAGTACAATGATGTCTTCCTCTTTGCAGTTAGGAGCAGTGATTAGGCTACCACATGTATTATATGCCGTTGTTACAATCTAACCCAGCATTTTGAGGCCTTACAGCCACAAGCTATGTTTTTCATGATTTACATTTTGATTTTTTAATGCAGAGCAGATTGGACAGGAGATGCTGGAAAACCTCAGCCATGACAGAGAGAAGATCCAGCGTGCTCGGGAAAGGGTAAGTTTGATACTTGCTGGTCTCGGATTTTATTTGCTTTGGGCAAGTTCTCTGTGCATGCAAAAATAATCCAGCATATTGATCAGTTTTATATAAATCAGCTGCTAAAACACTAAATTGGCTGTTGGAAGGAAGCTTTCTGTCACTAACGTCATAGTTAGGTCATTTTTTTTGTCCTTTGAAAGGTTTCTTATAGCATCCATTGCAGTGACTTCTTGGACTTTCTATGAAACAAGGTTCAGTATTACAACTGAGCTGCTAGCTGCTAGTAGCTGATCAACCTTACTTTTTGTAGCTCAAATGCTAATAGTTGCCTCCTGGGGCAGTTCTGAGTGCAAGAACAGATTTACTTGCTGCTCAGCTGCTGCAGTCAAGGTAATATATCTATGTCATGTTTGGCTTATCTTGCCTCCATAGGGATCAGCTCTTCTCTGTAGAGTTAATGACGATACTCAGAAGCCCATCCCAGCCAATGCACACAACTTCTCTGAAGTTCAGTATAAGAAATTTACCTCTCTGGTTCTGTTTTCCATTCACAGAATGAGGCATGACCGCTTGTGACTTTGTCTCCGTGACACATTGATCAGATACTTTCCTGAATGTCCAATTTTGCCAAAGCAAAGTCCGACTATAGGCCTCTAGCTTGACCAAGACCACTTAAAACTCCTTTGTCTGTCCCAGACAACCTGGTTAGCTTTGGTGGTAAAGTCTCATATGATGGCTTTAATGAGGCATTTTCTGTCAGCTGTACCAGTTGCTTCCTGAAATCCTGGTTATTAACTACTTTAAAACATTAATTATAACTAAGTGATTGAATGTAACTAAGGATTGCGAGCACTTACCAAGTGTTGTTCAGACTACTTTGTGTCTTACTTCACCTCCACTCCTCACATCCCTAGCGACTGCCAAGTCTGAGATGCTTTTCCTAGCTGGACAAGTAAAACCTAGGCAGTGGAGACAAATGCTATATCCCTTTCTTCTGACAATAAAAATCCATGGGAAGGAGAGAGTGTAGTTCTGATGACTCTGTGTACACAGCGTTCGTAGCATAACTATCCCTTTTCTGCACTTCCCACCTGAATGGCAAATTGATGGAAAAACCTGTAAGTTGCAAGGACAAGACTAAAAATAAGTCTCCCACCACAGTGCACTGAAAGGCCTCTTGTCATAACTGGAAGATCTCAAATTTCAGGTTTTTACCATATGCCACTTAAAATATTTTGTTTGGGGAACTGAGGAAAGTTCTCCAGGGGAGCCACATGAGTGGACCTCTGCCAGATGTCTGTATATTCAGAAGAACAGTAAGGGATGATCTTGGGTAACTTGGCAAGATTTCCATTTTCTGGAAAGGCCAAGGCAGAGGGTTCTCTAGCAATGCATAATAGCTTTACACGGAATACATGGTATTATTGTCTTATTGGTAGGGTAATAAACTTGTCTTCTGAAAGTCAAATGTCAGCTTGAGTATGATGGTCAGGTCTTAGCAGTTCAATGTTGTGAAAATTAGGAAGATTTTCCTGTGATCAAAATTTAAATGGGTTATTGTCTCTGTAGCTGAGTTAAATTTACATATGTGAGTTTTCCTGTATGTAGAGTAAAACTTTTTTTTCCCCAAAGCCAAAAATGAGGGATAAAAGGTTTGCTACAAGTCAGACAGATTAGCTGGACTGTACAAGACTCTAAAAGTTGCAATGTTTTTTAGGAAAACCTCAAAATGTCTAACAGGATATCACCATCAGCATCTTGTTCATCATCCTTCCTTTCTCATTAGTATTCTTAATATTACTTTTTAAGCTTTCTTAACCATCACATAGATTTGTCATTGCTAACAGGAAAGTTTATTTCAAAATGCTTTCACTACAGCAGTTTTGTGAAGGAAGGAAGTGCCATCACATGCCATTTAACAGGTTTGCATGACACCCATTTTTTGCCTTATGTGGTGCACTGATATTAGTAGAGAAATGATGGAAGAACTATAATCAGATATTTCAGTTTTAAATAAAAACAAACTTACAGTCTGAAGCTCCTTGTGTTGGGTTTTTTTCTGCCAGGGCAGGAAGAAAAGGTATTTTTTTAGAGTTCTCTTGGGAGGTAGCTAGAGATCTTCCATCTATGTGTGTACGTGTTTGTTTCTTTTTTAACGTTACTTTCACTTATTTTGTGGATTTTTTAATTATCATAAAAATATGAGGTTGTCTTGCTTAGAGGGGTTTGTCAAACTTCTAAGATTCAGCTTCCCCTAACTATCAGTACTGATTCTAGCTGTCAGATAGAATCCTGCAGCAAGAGAGGAAAGTAAGGATCAAACATACAGGGGTAAAAAGAAGAGAGCTACTTTTCTGTGAAAAGGGAGGAGAAGCCCCAAGTATTAAATGCATCCTTATGAATAATAAAAGACCAATATAAAGCATACATTTGTATTTCGGATTTGCTTCTAGCATGGATAAGAACTTGGCTTTTTAATGAGCCTTCTAAAAACTATTGTGACTTTTTTTCTCCTGTTCCTTGTGTCAAACTGGGCTAAACTGCTATTCTGGAGCCTGAATTGTCTAGATTAATCAGGACAAAAATGAGGAAATGACCTCCCTGAAATATAATGCTCATCTTTGTCCATCATAGCACATAATTACAGAGATCTGAAAGTCAGTGCAAGCCTTCCCACTCCATATGATATTGCTAAGAGCAAATCTTGGTTAGTGTTATTCAGTCCCAGCTTCTCCTTGGTATTTTCTTAATACCTTTTACAAGAACAAGGAGGAAATATATGCAAAAAGATTATGTGTCATTGATTGAAGCTACTGGTTTTAGTAATAAATATTAAATCTGGTACCAAATATTTATGATACTGTGCTTCAGAGTAGAAACTGGTTTTAATATTGCTGCCATGCACGTATTCAAGATATAATAGTGGTTTGTTACGGTGAAGGTGATTTGTTATCAGAAGACTGCCACTTTTCATGGCAGTGTTACTGTTTGGATGGATTTATAACAGAGGATGCATTTTGTTTTCTACAACAAAGTTTCTTGAGTAAGAAGTCAATAAGTCAGGTAATCCTTTCAATCTGATTTGATAATGAAGAGGTAAATATTCAGCTTTCATAACAAGAATGTTTTTATGTTTGTACACACAGCTGTGTTTTGGGGAATGTTAGAAGCAGTTGTCGCTGATATTTCATAACTGAGAATCATTATCTTTTCTTTTACAGTAGATTTTGATGTCCCACTGGTTCCAAGATTCCTAAAAAGTCAAAAGATGTCTCTCGTTTAGCTACCAGTAGCAAAAGAGGCGATAGGAGAATAACTCTGTTCTTCCTATACCCTTCTTCATTTCTAGGCTTCCTTTTGTGAGACACTAATAAACACAAGAATAGAAGAGAGGTTTTATTGCTGTTTAAAGAGCAATAGAAGTAATTGCCCTTTTTTTAAATATGAAGTTCTTTTGCTTCGTAAATTTTCTGTTCATGTCCCGAGTGCCATCTTTTATTCAGTTGCGCTTTTACCTGTTTTGCAAGATTTTTGGGAGCTGTAGGACAAGTCAGCTAATCAAGTTTAGCTGGAAATATAGATTTTCTGTGTCCAAATAAACTACAAAAATGCTATTTTCAGTGAGTGAGTTATACTTGCATGCACAAATATTTATCATACCACTGTGCCTTATGTACATACTATATGCTGTTCACAAAATATTTGGGCATCCATCCGGGTGGTGGCCACTGTAAGGTCAGTACAAGTTTTGTATTTAAATACAAATATAGGCATATTTCTTTTATGCAGAATTGGTAAAAGACCACTGTTTTATATTTCTGCTTTTTCTTTAAACTACTGTCTTTGAAAAATAGCAGAAGAAAGGTATGTTTGTTTTTCTTTTCATGAAGATTCAGGAACAAGCACGTGGCTGTCTCTTCATTCCTTGATGCCCTCACTGATATACATAACCAATACACATACACGCATCAATGGGAATTATGGATACCAATTTATATACCTGCCACCCTGTATTTTTAAAGCTTTTGCTCTTTATCCTGGTTCATCTTTATTGCCTCAATGTCTTATTTTCCATGGGTTTCATCTTTATGTAAGTAAAAACCAAACAAACCCTTTTTAGATTTCAGATCTTCAGTGGCTTTCTTACAGGAGTTTGTTGTGGGCTAAACCTGAAGTTGATTGACTCAAATGGCAGTAGAAATAGCTTTGTACAGAATGGAATACATGTGCCTTTTTGCCTTTAATGGGACTCTTTTTTTCCCCTCAGCTTAGAGAAACAGATGCAAACCTGGGGAAGAGTTCCAGGATCTTGACGGGAATGTTGCGAAGGTAAGGCCAAGGTAGGGACATTTCCGCTCTCTTTTTTTCCTCTGTCCTTCTGTGCCTTTATTTTTAGTTTTAATTCAAACTCAGCATTTTGATGATGTACCTAACTTTCTTTCCATGGGCTGCTACGTAGAATGTCTTTGAATGAATGCTGGTAGTGAAGCAGGCATGGTCTGATAGCAGGCTTTATCACAGCTATAGAAAGACTTTTCTATAGCCTGAAGGATTACCTCTTGCTCAATCATTTCCCATCTTTCTCTCTTTGTATTTGGTGGGGGGGGTTGTCTGTGTATTCTAAAATTAAGCATTTTGATTATAATTTCCTGTGTTCCATGTTCTTGAGTGATTTCAGTCTTTTGAGGGTTTTTCACCTGTTAGATTTTCTGTGAGGAAGTTTGTAAATGTTTTCGGGCAGCGTACATTTACACATAGATAAAATGTTAAGATGATGAATTCTGCCTGAAGAGATGGGGCAGACTCATTGTCAGACCTTGTGGTTTTAACATGTTCCTTCCATGCTTTCAGTGTTATGAAAATTGTACCTGGGATCAAAGTGAGGTGGTACAGAAAGGAAAAATCTTCAACATCCTAAAAGCCTATGTGGGACCACAGGGAGGGAGTTATCCAGAGATTATGAGGCAACTTCCAAGTCAGATTTTATCGATTAGTGGCATCTCTGGATACCTGATCTTTACCCAGTGAAACAGCACCCAAGTTTCTCTGTCCATATTCAGCTCTCTATATATGTTCAGCTTCTTATAGAAGAAAAACATACCTCTAATAGGTGGTTCTGGGTGCTATGAAAACAGTTTTATAGGAGTTTAGAGCATGCTCTCGAGTGTTCAGTATGAAATTACTCTTACCATTGGCTTATATGTTGCATATTTGCTTAATGCAATCTGCTTATTAAAAAAATGAAGATAAAGTTTTAGCAGAGCTGTTGATTTGTCACTTCACTTGGAAAATAGCAAAACCAGAATTTAGTGGGTTGTTCTTCAGTGCAAGCTTTATCTCTTCATTTCTTCTCAGAAAAATGTCTTTGTTAGTCCTTGTATACCCAGCTGACAAAGGTTAAAATGACTGAACCTCATTCCTTCATTCCACAGATTTCTTACAATTCCAACTCTGAACTGTAACATATAAAATTCTCTGATTAAGAGTAATATGTAAATGACACAAGCTAAATTCAAAATCCATGGAGGAAGGAAGTGGCAATTGAAAGGGATGGTTCAGTGCCTGTAGACAATCAAAATAAACTATAAAAAAAATAGACGAAAGAAAAGACACAACCAAACCCAAGTCTCCCCAGGAAGGGCTCTGCGACATGAGCTGTAACGAACATTCTGCATATGTCTCCATTTTGTCAAATCTCATTAAAGGGGTTTCTTGCTTTATGTCAATTGAGCTGTCCAAAAATCATTCATCATTTTAGTGTAAAAAAAAATCATGCAGTTATTTAAATAATATCATATTAATGTTAAAGTTCAGCTGTCATTTAATAGTATGGCTTAATCAGACATAGCATTTAGGAAAAATAGTTTTTTCGGGCTTTACTTGGCTTTCAGGTTGGCAGATTCAAATAAGGATTTATGGGTTTCTAAACCAATGTATTCTTTCCATGTTTATGCTTGAGGTACCTCAGCCTTTTTTGCAGCACCCTGTAGTCTGTTATTTTCAGTAAAATAAAGTATCTCCTCATATTGTGTTTGAATACATTTGCAAGTAATTTGGAGAAGCTGAAACAAAAACATATGCTGTAACCTTTGACTTTGTTTTGTGTTTGGGAATCACAGTTAGGAGTCCTAGTTTGTAAGTGTTCCGTAAGCCAAATGAAAAATATGATCTTTCTGAAATATACTTGAGCTTTTCTTTTCAGACAAAAAGGGTAACATGGTCAAACACCACCATGGCCTTTTTGTGTGTGTCAGAAAGGCGCTGGATTTCCTTTTTCTTTAGCAAAAATCCTGAGCTGAGTCACCCATCTGGATGAAAGGCAGGTTAGGATTTAAGCTCAGTTCAGGTAAATGTGCCAAAAGCAATGTCCTGGCATAAATGCAACTTGCAGTAGAAGATTCTCAAGATGTTCTTTAAAAGCACACAATAGACAGACCTGTGGTGAATATAATCTGTTTGTGACTTGTTCAGTAGTACGGTCTAGCATTATTCCAGCCTCAGCATCATCCCAGTGTTAAGTCTCAAGAATAATCATAAAATGCAGACCCTGAGAAATCAGCACAAATTAGATAAATACAACTGCAAGAAAAATAATTAGCACGGATTGGCAGTTATGTCCTAATTTCTGCACACTTCAGTACATGCCACACAATGTTTCACTTAATTACTGGAACCGATGAAGAAGAATGCTGGAGGACTATTCTTCCCATCATTAATATACAGAAAAGGTAATGTTGAACCGAACGTTGCTCAACTTAGTTGCTGCTCCCACAATATGTATTTGCCGATATGCTTGAAGTCGTATGCCAGGCTAATGAGGCATATGCCAGGCTAAGAGACTATGCCATAGTCTCTTGACTATGATAATACCCTGTGCATCGAATTAATGCCTAACTATCTCTATTTTTACATCTGGGAAAGGTAAAGCAGAATCTCTTCTAAATCTGGCCAAATATAGTAAGAGATTATATATTTAAATAGCTGGAGGGCTACCTTGCTCCCTTTGTATGACCTAAATTCCCCAGCCATGTATTTGTGCATAAAATGCTCCAGAGATGGGGAATAAAAGCAGGGACAGGCTTTGTAGGTTGCCAGAGGTCACCAAGTAAATCAGCGGCATAATAGGAACAGACCTTCCTATACCAGTTTGCTGCTCTAGCAACTTTAGGAAGCCAGCCTTGTGTATTGGAATTTGTTGTCTTCCTGTATTTTGAATATTTGCTTAAGGGACATTTTGTAATAAATGTATTTAAATATTCTCACTTTGAAATAACCTATACATTCATAATTTGTTTTCCTGTAAATAAACCTACTGGGATTCCACTGTACTAGTATATTGCATTCAGGGTATGGCATTGCATTACTATGATAAAATCAGCATGTCAAAGCATTAATCATTTCCTTTTACATGTATCAATAGCTCTGGAAATCCTGATGGTTTATGACTTCTCCTTAAAACTGTGAGACTATAACACAATTGCAGTGTAGCTTAAGTTAGAGAATTTTCAGATAATAGCTTTTAACATAAGGAAATGGCATCTTCTGCAGTCATCTGCAGTATCACAGTCTCAGACATCCATCCCTTGGCCTGTACCCCAGTTGGGGAGCCCACAGTGTGTCAGAAAGAAGCAGAAAAGAATATGTTCTGAAAGATCTTCAGTCTTTTGCCCATATCCTAAGCCAATAACCTAGAAAAGCTTTTAGGAAAAGAATTTGGATAGCCTCCAAGCCACACATGGCCCAGTGGGAAACCAACAAAACTAAAAGTAACCAGATAAAAATTTCAGTAATTTGAATCTTTATCCAATTAGCAGATAAATTCTATCTACCCCCCTCCAAATGGCAGAAAAATATTTCATGAAAAAATAGCTACCACCCTCCAGAGCAACTTTTTATTTTGTCTGCTTCACCAGGAAATTTTTATGCCAAAAATTCTTCTAATCTTCAGATTTCAATCTTCTGAGTTGTTAGCAATGATTCTTTGAGAAGCTCATGAACACATCTGCTGTTATAAGAGAGACTTCTAAAATGTGATTTCCAGCAGGAGAGACACTAGGTCCAGCTGATCGAAATAAAGCAGTAAGTGTTCGGCTCTCAGGTGATAAATTATATGACTTGCCAGCTGCATGACCAATATGACTACAGTCAGAACTGGAATGCCTGCCCCTCTGTGCTAATTGTAGTTGAGCTTCTTCACTCCTCTTTCCAGGAAAATTGTGGTAGTCCTACTTTTTGCATCACTTCTAATCAAACTTCCTTGTACTTTTGAACTCCAGGATAGTCCTGACTTTACAGTTATTTCTTACCATTTCACAGAGTCATAGGACAGTGTAGGTTGGAAGGAAGCTCTAGAGGTCATCTGCTCCAACCTCCTGCTCAAAGTAAGTCTAATTAGATCAGGTTGCTCAGAGACTTTTCCATTCAAGTTTCAAACACATCCAAGGTTGGAGATACCAGTGCCTCTTTAAGCAGTCCATCCCAGTAGCAGTTGAAATTAGCAATTTTTCCAGTTATCTGTGAAAATTTCCCAGCACCCAACTTGTGTGCTTTGCCCCTGGTGCTAAGCAGAAATAATTTAAAACATAGGTGTTTTACAGTTGGCCTTTAGAATTTGGGCCTGGATTGCAGTCGTTCCTAGCAGTTCTCAGACTACTTCAGCAGTTGAAGAGGCCCCTGTGGTCATTAGGCTGAGAGGACATTCAGTGTAGGGCAGTTCTTTACACAGGGTGTGAGATGCTCTACATCCATGACCTGGTTGAGTGGCCGTTCAGTAGTAGATGCAGAAGTAATTCTTTATTTGCTTTCTCACACTCCTAGAGATGTGAAAAGCTATTTGTGACTGTTCTACCTTCACTCTTGACTACAAAGCCCACATTTCCATATGTAGAACAGCAGCAGAGACAGCCATGTCCCTCTCAAGGCAAACCAAAACAAATAGGGAGTTTCCTCACTGTCTTTCCCCTGTTTAACTACCAGTCTGTTTCCATCCCCAGAAGTCCATAGCAAAAAAGATTTTCTTCTGAGCTAAAGCCCATTTCAGAATCAGTCTTCCTAGGGCATAACTGTTGAGTCTCTGCAGCTTTCTGAAGGAAGGTCTTCACATCATAGATACAGAGTGAAGTTTAACATACAGTTAGACTTGTCTTATTTTCATTCTAATAGAGGAATTGCTCTTTCCAGCAGGAGATTTGCATTATTTGGTCTCAAGCCAGAAGAAGTTTGAGTAGAAACTGTTTAGGAACTTTTTGGTACATAGATTTCTATTTTTACTTCAAGATGTATTTCTACACTGAAAATTATTGAAATGGTAAATCCTTTAGCTACATGTCTGCTCCATGTC